ATTTTATGGTTAAACTAGCCAATAGGGCAGAATAATCCAGAGAGTCAGAGTAGGTAATCTATTTCTAGTACATAGTGCTTTTTTAAGTTTATAAAGCAGGTAAAGCTTTCCTTCTTTCCTTCCTTTCTTCCTTCTTTCCTTCCTACCTTCCTCTCTTCCCTCTTTCCTCCTCCTTCCCACCCTTTCCCTTCCTAATACACATAGCACTTCTATAAAATATTTTGATTGCTTTATTCAAGTGACACTTCCATCATTTTTACAACCCAAAGAGGCAGTCTCAAAGTCTGCTTTTGACTTGATTCCACTTTACATGAAATAGGTACTTTCATTCACTGTTGGTGGAAAAGTCATCCGGGCATACTTTTTGAAAGTCAGTCTGGAGACACACATGTATGTGTGTATATGGGTACAGACACATGACGGGTTCATTCGTAAGTTGCTTTTACCAATCTGCTAGGGATTTTCTACAGAAACATTGGAAAACATTATAAGCGTGTTTGTTACATTTTGTATTGCGTAAGGGTAGAAAAGTAGAAGCAACTTAGCCATCCAAAGAAAGCTGCATAAATTACAAAGCATTTGGACAGTGAACTGCCATGTTTCAGAACACTGCTGCCAGTGTCAAGTGAGATGTTAAACACTGAAATGTTGTAAAAGTTATACTATATACAGCATAATAATGCTATTTTTTTTGCCTCCAGGAAAAATACCAAAAGAATACCTGCTTACATATTAATAATGTCTATATTTGAATGACGGCCTTCTTCATGGATCTTTTCTCAATTTTCCAAGTTATCTGCAGTGAATATGTATTGTTTATGAAATAAACAAAATGATACCACTTCTTGATATATTTGTCTCTTACACACTATTTTTAGGCTATGTCCGAAACTAAGGAGAAAACAGACACACAATTATGACCTTTTCTTACTTGTTTATAGTAATAACCTACTGTGATCAACTCTGCTGTCCACCACTAGGAAACTGTTTTTTAGAAAAAGTGCATTCACCCAACAAAATAATGCACAATCTTTAAAACCAGAATCTTGAAGAAATTTATGAGTGAAAGAAAATGCTTGCAGTATACTCTGTTAAAAAGATATGTAAATAGGCCCTCCCTGGTGGTGCAGCGGGTTAAAGCACTGCACTGAGAATCTAAAGCTTCCTCATGAGTTCAATTCCCGCCTGCCCCGGAGG